TTTAGAGAATATATACTTTAATATCTATTCAATATATCACTAGCATAATGTCCATTTTATTCATCATGGGAAAAGAACCTTACATGATACAAGACAATTAGTTTGTTTTATTATTTATAAGATGAAATAATTGTGTAGCAATCAAATGAGGTGACATCCTGCAATTTCATTTTCTGTAACAGAAGTTACACTATATCAAATTATTTTGAGTTAATAAAATAAGTGAATTGTCAAAGAGGAGAGAAATAAAAAAGTAAAGAAAGTGCACAAGGGTAAAATAAAAAAATAATGTTGCTTTAACATTATTTTTTTTTAATATAATGAATTGTATAAATGATGTGTAAGAGAAGAAAATGTTGGTTTGATATGTAAAAATACGAAATTTTATCGCCTGTGTATTTATTATGTCAAAATTTATATCAATCATTTTGTTTAATTAAACAAAAATGGAAAGAACCGAACCCACATGTTCGATTTTGGAAGATTCATCAACTGGTCTTCATCTGAAAGACAGCATATGAAACTGAGCTCAGCTTTTGCACAGAAGTCTTTGGAAATAGTAATACTCATATTTTTCTTTCTATAGCTCTCTCAACGTGGAAAAGAAGAGATGATAATGTATTGTTCAGTTTATACCAAAGAAAAAGGAAATGGAATTATGCGTTACTTGTTTGAAGCCTTTGTGTATACAATGTTAATTGATCCTCTGAATTATTTCATTTCAATTATGATTTTACGCTGTTCAGATTTCAAATGTTTCAAGACACTATTCAAAACTTACAAGACTCAGATGTGATGTTCCATAAGTATCAAATGATCTATATATCATTTCAAAATAAACTGTTCTGAAAAATAAATGCACACATACTTGATTTTCTTTTTCTTCAATCCTTTTCCACATGAAGATCATCGGGTGAGAGCTTCGTCGAGCAGAATAATCACAGATCATTCACAATATACACATCATTCGGAATGGGAAATCCAATAAATCAGGCCACTGCAAGAGATAATAACATGAATAAAGAGATGAAACCAATTGTTCAAAGAAAAAAATTGCATATTTGAAATCTTGAATTTGACGAGTTTTTTTACCTGATTAGTACAAATACACATTGAAGAACACCTGCAATGCCAGTCCATGAAGAAGGACCGGTTTTCACAAGGGCATCTTGTATCAGTAGACCAACTGAAGCAGCTAACGAGACAAACGACACAACATATGCAATGAAAAGCCAAAGTTTCAACCTGCACATTCAGAAACTATAAACAGTCGGAGAAAAAATTGAATCTTTCTGAATTTACTGCCTTCGACAAACTTCATCGATATGAATAGCATATCCTTCAACCAAAATTCAAGAAACTGAATCCTCAAGCTCAATATTTCACATTGATCAGACAAATAGTAATACTTAAGGGTTTTCCGTTTTAATTTTTTTGTTCATAACCCCTGAAAATCTACAAGTTCTTTGATGAACGACAAAAACCCTAAACGAATCACCTCATATACTGAATGCATTACGATGTAAAAAATATTCTTGCTAGCAAATGGAAAGCAGAAGTACAATCTAAACGCGGGAATGAAAAAACAAAAAATTGAATCTTGCTGAAATTACGGCCTTCGAAAAACTTCATCGATATGAATAGCATACCTCTCAACCAAAATTCAAGAAACTGAATCCTCAAGCTCAATGTTTCACATTGATCAAACTAATACCAAAGTGTGTTCCATTTTATTTTATTTTATTTTATTTTATTTTGTTTTGTTCATAAACCCCTGAAAATCATACAAGCTTAAAAAACAAAAACATGATTAATCTAACCTCCACTCACCCTCTTCATAGGGTGAGTAATCGATATCCTCTTTCCTCACGCAATTGAACATCAAAGCAGCTAAAGACGCAAAGATTCCTACCAAATCAAATCAAAAATTACAATTAGGGCAAAAGCATCATCAACTCACACAAAAAGACCTAATTTTTTAACAAAATTCCGTACAAATACCAGGTAGATAGTGCACGAAAGGGATTTTGACTGAGCTGCAGACGACAGCGTCGACCCAAAACCACCAGCCGGTGCCGAAAACGGCTCCGGCGATGCCCGGCCCGAAGATTGCCAAAAGCTCCCCCAAATCCATTTCTAATGCACGATCTTTCTCTTTCTAGATATGATTCGAGACAAATTTCAACAGAAATTTTAATAAGAAATTCAGCTTTGCCTTTCTACCTCTACTTCTTGTGGTTCTCTCTACTGTTGGATTTTATATATATTATGGCTATTCTTTATTTTTTTTGGATGAAATGTATAATTTAATGAAAAATCAACTTCAACTAACTCAGAAAATGTTTAAATGCTTAAATTTGTTTGTTAATTTGTTATTGAAAACAAACAATTCAAAAGAGCCATATTTATGGTTCAACCAGTGTGTGTTGACCGATATATTGTCTGTAAATGTATGTGCAATATATAAATCAAGTTATACAAGAAACTATTTCTAGCGCTTATATTCAAATGGAAAAACATTATTTTGAATGAAAAGCATGGCTTAAGTTGATGTAAGCAATGTGAACTAATTTAACTACAAAATTTAAATTTGAAATAACTTGATACATTAGCATTAAAGAACTTATATAGAGATAATCGTTTTCTGTTTCGCTGATATGGAGAATGGCTCCAGAATTATTGATAAACCGATTGATCCTAGGGTTGACCCATCGGATCCCTTTCCGAAATTACAGGTCGCAAACCCGCAACAAGCTTCTGGTGCCCGCAATTTGAAGAAACGAAGATCTGATCGATCGATTGAATGTCCACCTGAGATGGAGTCTACTGCCTGCTCGACTGAAACGGATACTCCTCCTCCGTTGCTGAACCCACCGGCACCGCCCTTGAGCTTCAAGGACACACTTATCAAGAATCGACCTCACGTTGAGATGAAGTCTGATGACGAAGGGGAAGGCCATGATGATGATGTATTTGTGGATTTTACTGCTCCTATACCGGATATTAAGATGGACTCTTTATATGAGAGCCGTCTTAAGTCATTTAGCAATGTGATTGTTGTTAAACTGCTGGGTATTAATATGCGAATGGCGACTTTGTATAACAAATTGCTGGAGATTTGGCCATTTTTGAAAGGTTGTCCAATCCTTGATACTGAAAACGTGTACTGCATGCTCCAACTTTGCTCACACGAGGACGTTTTGACTGCTCTTGTTGGTGGCCCATGGGTGGTGAGTAGACACTACCTACACGTCCAACAATGGTCTGAGGACTTCGATGCATCTGCTAATCAAATCAACTCCACGATTGCTTGGATACGCCTGTCGGGCATGTCGGTACATCTTTATCACAACAAAATCTTTCGAACAATTGGGCTAATTGTGGGTAAAGTGATCAAGGTCGATCATCAAACTGCGTCTCAATCCTGTGGGAAGTTTGCACGTCTAGCAGTGAGGTTGGACTTATCAAAACCATTGCGCACTCACTTCACTATTCGTGGTAAGCTTCAAAGAATCGAGTACGAGATGATGCCTGACATTTGCTATAGTTGTGGCCGCTGTGGCCACACGGCGCCAACTTGCCCTGAACGTTCGACAGCAACACAACAGGAAGAAGCTCCAGAGGGTGTTGGAGGTGCTTCAAATCTAAAGCACCGGGTCCAGACGGGCTCCATGCGATGTTTTTTCAACGTAAGTGGGAAACGGTTGGTCCGGTTGTTTGTGATATGGTCCGAAATATTTTAAAAGATGGAAGTATGCCATCAGACCTGAATAAAACCATGATAGTGCTTATCCCAAAAGTGGCGAACCCAGACTCCATTACGAACTTCCGACCCATCAGCCTCCTCAACGTGGCGTATAAGCTGACTATAAAAATTTTGGTGAATCGTATGAAACCAGTACTTCCATTGTTAATTGGTCAGACTCAATCCAGCTTCGTGCCCGAACGTCACATTACCGACAACATCATTGTGGCTCAGGAGCTGATTCACTCTATGCGAACCAAAACTGGTCGTAAGGGCTTTATGGTTATTAAAGTTGATTTAGAAAAAGCGTATGACTTCTTACGTTGGGACTTTGTAGATGAATCATTACGAGCAGCTGGCTTCCCTACTAATTTGTCCAGAATGTCATGGCATGTCTCCAGTCATCCACTATGCAAGTAAACTTTAATGGGACTGTTAGTGAGGAATTTTGCCCTAATTGCGGGATGCGCCAGGGTGATCCAATCTCACCATATTTGTGTTGGGATCTGTGAGGATCTCGTTATGTACAAATCACGAATTCAATAGCAAATGTAAACCTATGCACAGCGGATCTAAAGGTTTGACGTAGAGAACTTACGGCTTTAAAATTTATGTAGATCTGGTTGACCACGAACGGTTAACCGCAATTGATTGACCGCAACACGCGTCTTGGGTTGCACGAACAAGATCAGATCAAAACTGGATCAAACGGATGCAAACAGATCAAAACAAAATTTTGCTGCCAGACACCTTCCGGAGGCGCGTGAGGGCGCGTGCGGCGTCGGATTCCGGCGACGTCGGCGGCGATGGAAAGCTCTCGTCGAGACGGTCGTCTGGGTATACTGTAAGTCTCAATCGGACTTCCGGTTAGTTCTGTAGGTCAAAATCTATTTCGTTTCGGTTTACCTACAGATCTTCTACTGTATTACTCAATACACCCTTCTTCAACTTGTACCAGTGTAGCAACAAGAAGAAGATAAAGCTCGAATGAGATCTAGAGAGAGAGAGGCGTGTGAGGCGTGTATCTCGTGTGAATGAGACTTCTGTTCTCTTCTCATGAGCTTAATGATGTATATATAGAGCTACAGTAGGGATCCTAAGGAGATTAGGAAAAGGGCTCCTTAATTAATTAGACTAACTGTGGGCCAAACCCACTCCTCTAATTAATTAAATAATATTAATGGGCCACCAACATTATATTATTGCACTCCCTTTCCCCATTTGAGATTCCAATAATAATTACTCGATTTACCTCCCCACGTTTAAGATATAATGTCCATTAATTAATTCGATTACTGACAATCAAGAATTAATTAATTTATTATTATTTCACCGAAGCTAGAGCTCGTTCATCACATTCTTATTATGCCGGAATTTAATCCACCTGCAGGGTTTAGCATAACAATCCTTCATGAACTCACTCCGGGGACATCATCAAACTAACGCACATGGTGACCGTAAATATCCTAACAGCACATCCTATATATAATAATATTACCCAAAACAGTAGGAATATTAATCCAGCGAACTGAACCTCACCCATGTGAATCAAAGTAATATATATTATATATATCTGCCTGTTTAATATCTTACGGGTTAAGAGAACGCAGTAATTAACCGAGGCCTAGTTCATTTACAACGATCAGTTTAAAATGAACTTCTCCTCTCTGGGATCCTGTTCAATACATAAATGTACTAGTGCAACTAATCAGTCAAGACAAACTGTACAGTTGACACTACAACCGTTCGGATGGGGTGTTCATGTCCATCTAGGTTGTGAACAACTATTCTTGTTCGCAAGTGACTGATAGAGTGATCTTCGGTTCGCCCGATGACGACCCACCCTATCTAAGTGCAGAACAACAGAACGTAGAACTTGTTTAATCTAACATGATTCTCATTCATAAAGGGTAAATGTGTAATAACATGCAAAGCCAAGCTTTCAGTATATAACACTAACAATTTGTTCGTGATTTGTATTGAACGATTGGCCCACTTAATCCAAAGCTATGTTGATGCTGGTTAGTGGCGACCAATAACGGCTGGCGGAGATGAAATCCGCATTCCCCTTCTCATGTTTGCCGACGATTTGCTCTTGTTTGCCGAAACAGAGGAGGATCAAGCACAGTTGGTTATTTCGGTGCTCGATGAATTTTGTTCCATGTCTGGCTTGAAGGTTAGTCAACCTAAAACAGATGTTTTTTTTTCGAATAATGTCCCAATCGCGCGCAGGTACGCTCTAGCTCACTCGATGGGGTTCTCTCTCGTTGATAACCTTGGAAAGTATCTTGGAGTATCGGTTTTGCACGGTCGTGTTACAAACCAGACTTATGATAATGTTATTAAACAAGCGGATGCGCGACTCGCTGGTTGGAAGGCCAACTCGTTGTCAATGGCCGGCCGTTTAGTATTGACGCAATCTGTGATAAGCTCACTGCCGTTTTACATTATGCACACAGCCTGGCTGCCTAATGCGACGTGTGTCGGCTTGGAGAAACGATGCCGCAATTTCCTGTGGGGAGGCAGTGATTCAAACCGCAAGGTTCATCTCGTGTCCTGGGATGCGATCTGTCAACCAAAAGAACTCGGAGGCCTTGGCCTTAAGAGGCAACGCGAAATGAATATGGCACTTCTAATGAAATTAGGGTGGTCTATTCTAACTAAACCACAAGCTCTATGGGTTCGGTTGATACGGGCAAAATATAAGCTGGAACCCACTTTGATAAACACGGATTTTGCATTTCCAAAAGGGTCGGCGATCATCCAAGCAATCCACAAGGTTTGGCCGTTTGTGAGGAATGGGGTGCGGTGGTCTCTTGGGGATGGCACAACTGTTCGTTTTTGGCGTGATAATTGGACACATAACTATTGTCCTCTCATAAACGTTGTGCTCGGCCCTATTCCGGATAATCAGATTGACTGGACAGTTAGTGAATACGTTGATGATTCTGGCAGGTGGAGATGGGATCTATTCAGCCATTTGGTGCCGGCTGGAATGTCGCTTAGAATAGCTTCTATCTTGCCGCCAATAAGCATTGCTAAGCCTGACACTATGTATTGGAGACTTTCGGAGAATGGGCACTTTACAACAAAATCAGCTTATTCATCGTTGGTTACCACAACACCGACGAGCGAACGGGCCTTATGGAGAATTATTTGGAGATGGGTCGGTCCGCAAAGAGTACGCCAGTTTCTTTGGCTTGCCGCCAAAGAAAAACTGTTGACTAATGTTGAACGGCGACGGAGGCATCTCACAGGGTCATCGACTTGTTCACTGTGTGAGCGATACAATGAATCAATCTTGCACTGTCTGCGTGACTGTCTGGGTGCAAAAAAGGTTTGGCGAAGATTGATCCCTGTTCATCAACAAATGATTTTTTTCCAATTGGAGTTACGTGAATGGCTAATGCAGAATCTCCAAAATGGATTAGCTAGTGAGGTTGGTACATGGGAGATTTTTTTGGAATAACGATGTGGCGAATTTGGAAGGGAAGAAATGATACAATTTTTTCAGACACGGAAATCGTTGCGTCTAATATAATTCGAGAGGTTAAATCATTCGTCCATGGGACCGAGTTATCCGTTTCTGCTGAGAGATACTTGGGAGAACTTGGAGTGAGACGTGGCATCCAGTTAATTAGCTGGCACGCTCCAAGAGAGGGGTTTATTAAAATTAACACTGATGGATCCTATTTGAGCTCGTCCGGGATGGCGTCGGCGGGAGGATTGACACGTGATGTCGAAGGGCATTGGCTTGGGGGCTTTGCGATGAATATCGGATATTGTTCTATTACAGGAGCAGAACTATGGGGCCTATTTCAAGGCCTTTTATTAGCTTGGGACTTGAGTAGCCGCAATATTATTGTGGAAGTCGATAATGCTAGTGTGGTGACAATGGCGACTGAGAATTCAATGGTCAATCTTGGAGTGCATGGAAGCTTGGTTCGGGCCATCCGGGAATTGCTTAGTCGAGATTGGGAGACTACAGTGGTTCATTGTTATAGAGAAGCAAACTTTGCGGCTGACTGTTTGGCGACCCTAACTCATAATTACCCTAGTGGTTGTCAGAGATTATTTGATCCACCATTAAAAGTTAAACCGTAGCTACAACACGACGTTATTGGCGTTTGCTCACCCACGGAATACAACTAATGATCCTAGGCATTTGCCTCCTCTATTTGTACCCAAAAAAAAGAACTTATATAGAACCAAATACGTTATTTAAAAACTTGCATCAAACACAAGAAGTTATGAACATGAACCTAAGTTTAGTTGCGATCAAGATTAATCTTCCTGCAGAAAAATTAGAAAAAAAAAAAATAAAAAATTATACAACAAAAAAATGAAAAAAGTAACCAATACATTAAGTTAAACAAATAGTCATGCATTCTGATCAAGCCTGCTGGGGGTCGATCAATTAGCTTTGATCGTTGAATTGCTTTGCTATGTACACCAACCTTACAAAGCTCTTATATAGACAAACAGAAGGCTTTACAGTTATTATTACAAGAATCACAGCTCCACACACCCTTTCTAAATAAATAAGCTACAAATAAAATCTACTCAAAAAAAAAG